AGTCTCTGTCGACTTCGTTCGGACTGAACTTGATTGCAGGCACTGCATTAATAGCCAACACGAGCCATCTGCTGAAACACGTGTGTTTTGAAAAGAACTGCAAGGCACAACAAACATGCTCAGCTGTAGGGACCGTGTCTGCTGATGTGAAACGAGGATTGGGCAATTCCCCTCACAAAAACATTAAATTACAGGTTAAAAGCAGTTTTATATCAAGCTGATGTGTTTCCATGGCACATCCAATGATCCAGGAGTTTTGAGGCAGTGGGGGAAGTATGTTAACTGCAGAGCTGTTTGACCAACCTTCCCTCAAGAGCCTGTTGGTAAGTCAGAGCTGCAGCAAGAACCAGCAGCAGCTCGTGGAACTGGGGGCTGACAGGCACAGTTACAGCTGGTTCCAAGCTGTACCAGGGGACTCCTCCCTTCCCCTTGAGTTCAACTCCCTGGTTTAGTGTCAGCTTCAGCACAGCAGCCCCTGTGCTCCTCCCCTAAAAGAAGCAACTCTAAGGTTTTTCAGGCCACTTTCTTTCACCTTGTCCTCCTTCAAATGCTTCCTGATTTTGCACTTAAGAGGCTGAGAAATGCAAATAGGAAGTCATTAAGGTTGAACAGATCAGGGACAAGCTGGAAAATCTCGTTCAGTTCTTTCCTGTGTAGTACATGCAATGCTTGACAAGGTCAGGTTCTCACTGTACCACTCAGGATAGCCAATTTTGCAGCATTAGAACATTTATGGCCAGAAATAGAAGGGTAATAGCAGAAGGAATAATAAAATCAGAAGACAGAGCTGTCTAGTCACCTGTGGTGGTATCTAGGCACAAAAGGCAGTTTATTCTGTCCCCTCCTGTTTGTTGGACCCTTTCTCTCATGTCTGTGACTATGCTCTGTTCCCAGTACCTCACCCCAATTGCCATGTGCTCCCAGGACACTGGGCTGTGCCCATTTCTGCTCCTGACAGGAATGAAGGACTACTAGAAGCTCTTTTCTTCTCATGAGGATCCCTTAAACGTAAAGCGCTTTTCATTTTGTGAGAGTAAGGCTACTGTTTGTTTTGCTCAAACATCCTGCTGCAGAGAGCTAGCCATAGGTGTGACTCACTATCTTCCCTGGGTTGGCCCAATGTCATGGCCCACAGTTCAGCCCCTGTGCCAGCAAGATCCCTGAGCCCAAACAGGAGGCCTGTCCCCCTGGGGCAGGGAGCAGTGCTGGAGAGCCTGGCATGGCCCAGCAGGCACACAGCCTGTGCCACGGCTCCCAGCACTCCTGCAGGGAGGTCCTTACCTCCAACAATCCCATTTACACAGTCTCTCCAGCACAGCTCCCCAGCCTGGCAACCCACAGAGAGGCCTTTCGCAGGTTTACACCCTCATCTAGCTGTTCTTGCCTCAGTTCTCTGAGGAAACTGAGAGCTAATCACAGCAATTAATAGCTAGAGTAAAAAGCTAGAAGAACTTCTGCCCATTATGCCCTGTCATATGACCAGCCAAGCCCCAGGAGCAGAGTGCCCTCCCCAAAAATCCCTCTCAGAGAAGCACTCAGAGGCAGCAGAGGTGCAGTGCTCAGCTGTGCCTCTCCAGGGCCAGGGGAAGCAGCTTGGAAAGAGAATCTGATACTGCAGACACTGTGCTGCCTAATCCCCAGCCTCCAGCTCTGTCCTATCAGGCTGTTTAGGTCACAGATATTTGCTTTCCTTGGTATTATCTCTGAACCTTACCTGAAAAGCAGCACAGCTACAGGAATTGCACTTTACCTGCCCTCAGTATATGGCAACACAACTTGCATTTCAGATAACCCGAGTGGATTTCTGGAGAGAAAAGCAAAAGACTTGCTTAGCAGTAACATTTCTCCAGCACTGAAGAGGCATGCCCAAAGCAGCTGGGTCTGGAAAGGCCAGCACAAAGAGTAGTGCAGCTGAAACAAATAATATTTGCTCAGCAAAACGTGAGTCCAGGATCTTGGCAGAAAGACCTTCTTTCCCTCAAACAATTGTCCATTTTTAAAAAAAAATTTAAATTAAGGTGAGCACCACTGAACACAGCTGATCAGACTGCCCCAGAACAGGAGCTCATGCTCCCATATTTCATGGCATTTTAGCAGCTCAGAAAACTTCTGGAGATAGTGTTTCTGAACTCTGAGTGGCTGTTTGCTAATGCCAGGAGGTGGATTTTCTTCTTGGTGTTGACTTAATAAAAGCATTGAGGCATCATGAGTTTTTCCAGGCTGAAGGATCCAGTTGCCTTTGTTTGCCTATGCAGGAGTTTTACGCAATAGCCCCAATAAGGCTGACGCTCACGGAAAGCAGCTGCGGCACAGGCAGCATTGCAGGAGTTCCCATGTGCAGCCTGGCTGACCTGGATGAGCACAGGAAAACAAGTCCTATGCCCTCTAACATCCAGCAAATTGAAGTGCTCAAATTGTATTATGGCTTTGTGCTCTTAATAACACCTGATAAGCAACACCCCAATGCTCAAATACCACAAACTGTAAAAAGACACACACAAATATGGAAGGAAGGTGGGGGGTTAGCCCATGCACCAAAACTGTTTTCCATCTGGTGTTGTAGTCATACTTAGCCCTGAGTCTGCCTAATATAGCTGAATATGTACTTCATTCAAGTTCTTACATTAAAGAAAAACAACCAAGAAGTCATACTTAGCCCTGAGTCTGCCTAACGTAGCTGAATAGGTCCTTCATTCAAGCTCTTACATTAAAGAAAAATGACCAAGAAAAAACCTGAAATACAGGAAATTCTGCTTATGCAGAAAGAAAACCTTTTCTGCTGGTAGGGTGGTGAAACACTGGAGTATGTTCCCCGGCAGGTTGTGGAGTCTCCATCCTTGGAGACACTCTGAACCCAACCAGATGTGGAGCTGAGTGACCCATGGGAGCTGACTCTGCTTTCATCACGAGTCAGGCAGCACAAGCTCCAGAGGTCCCTTCCCACCTGACCCATTCCACCCTTCTGTGTCCCTGCAGAACAGCCCTGTCCTGGCACACACCACAGGGCAGACAGACACTGCAGAGTGACTGTACATGACCCTCTGACACACATACCTGCTCTCCTATTATCTCGGCCTCTCTCTCCACATAGGGACACTTGGGAAGGTTCCCCAAGCCCCAAGAGCTAAAAATGTGATGGTGGATGAGTGCTAAGCCTGAGAGAGCCTCTGCCTTCCTCCAGGAGACCTCACACAATAACCAATTAGACAGGCTTAATATTTGGCAGCATTGTTGGTTCTTCCTTGAAGTCACGTTCTTTAATTTCACCTCTCCCCACTTGCTTTACCTTTTCCCTTCTGGCCAGTTTGCCCAGATTCAAGGACACAAGGACAGTGCAGCACCTCCATCTGCACAGCATGTCAATACATCTAATTCCTTCAGCACAAAGGGATTATTATTCCATTTTACTTTGATCAGTCTGGGAACACACCTGCCATTTGCCTGTGAGCTGTTCTTTGTACAAGGATTCTGTTTTTAGCAGCATCTCATGTGAGCTGGATCAAGGATTAGCTGTGGGCATTTCTGAGCACTCATGGTCACAGTTAACACCCTTGGGGTTTTTTCTGCTATCAGAAGGAAAAAAATTCCTTCCGGGGTACTTCAGCCTGAAACAGAATCATACGATTAGTTGGAATCAACAAAATACCACAATCTCCCATGAATAGTCATGATCTGCGAGCAGATAGACTCTTGCCAGAAGAGGCCAAGGGGAGGTTCTGCTGGAATCTTTTTGGAAGAGCTTTGTAAGCTGTGTATTTGGGCACAAGCAGGCCCTGTTCCTACAGCCTCACGGAGAGCACAAAAGAACACCTCTCTGTGCCCCCATGCCTGTGTGGATGGCTCCTCCATTGAGCCTTATCTACCGTCCCATAATGAAGCCTGCAGCGTGATCAAGGGAGGCAGCAACAGGCCTGGGCTTTCAAGACAAGCCTTTCTGCCTCCTCACACATTTTGTACACATTTATCTGTTTTACCCAGCCTCCAGTCCAGCTCAGCAGAGGAAAAACAAACTGAAAAAGGAAGGTGGCCTCAAGCATGCAGGAGAGCTCTGCAGCTTTGTGTTTCTCCTAGTGCCTCAGCCACTCACCATGTATTGACAGGAGTTACACTACCTGTCCGATAAGGTTTGCATCATTAGCCGAAGCAGGAACTCTGTGCAGACATCCCGAACTGTCCTTTGCCCCTGCCTCGCTGTCTTATCTGCTTCAGTTTGAGAAAGGACTCAAGAGCTGAATTGCTGAGGGGTTATAGCTCTAGGGTACATTCCTGACCAAAAATGCAATTACCTGGCAACTCGGTTCTGAGAGCTGTGAAATCAGCCGTGCAGAGGGAAGGTAAACGAAGATGCGATTTCTGCCGCAGCACTCACCCCTCAGGAGCCTGCTGAGAGCTGACAGTGTCAGTGTGTGCACAGAGAGAGCTCTGCCTGCAGTGGCTTTCAGCTGCTGCTCGCAAGCTGATCTTGTTCTCCTTGACACAAACCTACACCAGCTTCGGGAGTCCACGTCTTCACCCCTGCTGTGGGAGAAGAGCTGATTGCTGAGCTCGTTAAAACAGCAGTTTGTGTAAAATGAGTTAGTGCTGAGTGCTGCCCAAATGTTCCACTGCACTGATGGACAGGAGCTGCTAGAGTTCAGCGTGTACTGTGTGCACAGGCTGTGTACCTGCTCAGGGACCAGCACGGGTGGAAAACAACACGGCCACAGCCTGAGAGCCATCAACAAGAACAGCTTAGGCTTGGTAACTGCCTAGTCCTTTGTCCTTAAGGCAAATTAGCCCTCCTGCCTTCCTGCCCTCTCTACCAGCAGGTCTGCTCCACAGCCACCTCCTCACACAAAATACCTCAGTTTTAGGCATTATGCAGCAAAACGGGGCGCAAGAGCCTGACAACACCAAGCAAGGCAGTTCTAAGTACTGAAAACACCCAACAAAAAGTCAGCCCAAAACTTTATTTTGTAGAAAACCGTGAGAAGACAATTTCAGGTGGAACATTCGAAGCATCACACTGCCAACATACTCATTAAAGACAACTCCCGCTCTCCCAGGGTATAATCACGTCTCATACTGCACCCTTTGTTTGTTGCTTTCATCCTCACAGAGAGGCTGCACAGCTCCTCCTCGGCGATGCTATCAAAAAAGAAGTCCTCGTTGAAGATGGGATTTCTGCTCCTCTTTATAACAGTGCTCCTCTGCTTCTGTGTCTTCCCGGGCACTAGGGAGAAGCTGATGCAGCAGTTAATGTTCTTGGGCTCCACGGAGCGGTCATAGAGCCCCTCGGCGCTGATCAGACGGATCCGCAGCCTCTCGTTCTCGGAGCAGTACTCTGCTGAGAGCCTCAGCCTGCCCCCCCTGCCCAGCACCACCGTGCTCTCCCCCACCAGCCTCTCCCGGCTGCGGCTCAGGTCCAGAGGGAAGAGGGGGGAACAGGACGAGCTAAAGTTCCGTGTGGCCAGCAGCCCCTCCGAGGCTCTCCTGATGGCACTGGGGCTGTTATCAGTGGAGCTGCTCTCCTCTGTGGACAGAGAATTGTTCCTGGCCACACTGGATTTGTTCTTGGCTTTCAGCGCTCGGCACAGCAGTCCCTCCTGGCTCTGTGCTTTCATCAGGGAGCAGGGCCTGGGAGGTGACCTGCTGAGAAGTGGAGAACTGAAGGGAGAGGAATCGCTGGAGGAGGCAGTGTCACTGTCACAGGCACCTTGTCTCTGCAGAGAGGGAGGCTTGGGGGGCAGCCTCACGGAGGCGAAGCTGACAGCAATGGGATTTGACACACTCCCTTTGCCACTGAAGGTGTTGGCTCTGGCCCGAGACAGCACCAGGCCGGGCAGAGCACCGTGGGGGTCTCCGTGGAAGATAGACTCCTTTCTCCTGGTGTGGGGACTCTCCAGCAAGGTGCAGAACCCGTAGGAAGTGGGAGCTCTGGGAAAGTGTGGCAGGGAAAGTGCTGCTTGGGACTGTGGATCTGAGTTGGTGCACTCTTCCTCCAGGGCTACAATCTCCTCGGCACTTTCCACCTGAATGAGATGTGGCAAAGAAGAGGTGGAGCTAGAGTCAAAAGAAGCAGGAGCAGCATCCTCTGGACCGCGATCCTGGTGGAAAGCAGAGCCCTTGGCGGGGGCAGAGCTGGTCAGCCTCGGGGGGATGCAGAACTCGGGGATCCTGTCAGGGGTGAGCACGTTGGGAAAGGCAGCAGCTCCCAGCCGGGCTTTGTCGGGCAGGGTTTGGCCGTGTGGCAGCCCCAGGAAGAGCGAGCTCGGGAGGTTCCCATTTTCATGCGATGCTCTGAGCTTTTCCAGGAACCACATCACTGCAGCTGGGCAGAAGGTCCTCAGAGGGGACAAGCTCGAAGGACAAATCCACCTGCAGACACAGAGGCGAGAAAGCACATGAACATCCTTCCTGGCACAGCAGAGCCAAGCCAGGCACGGAGGATGCCACGCAAAGCAGGACGAGCTCGATCTGCTCAATCCTCGAGTTCCAAACAGCCTCTGCCCAGCGCGACCTTTGGCAAAGCCAAACGGGTTTCACCACTAGAACCGAATCAAACCACTAAGGAGAGAACGCAGGGTCGGGTTACGACCGGGGGCAAACGTCCCTCTCCGCTCATCCCCCGGTGCTGCTCACGGGGAATTGGACGTACCTTGCCAAGCGCGACACTCTCACCCTTCCAGCACCTCTGGCTCCCCGAGCCCGACCCGCAGCGATCGCAGCCAGCACCGAGCCCCGAGCAGCAGCTTTTCTAGCCGCCCGGGAGCCTCCCCCGGCACGGGGGGAGAGCGGGGAAAGGGAGGGGAAAGGAGGGAAGGGGAGGGAAGAGAAGGGAAAAGAGAAGGGGAGGGAAAGGAGAAGAGGAGGGGAAAGGAGGGAGGGGAGGGAAGAGGAGGGGAAAGAGGGGAAGGGAAAAGGAGGGAGGAGGGGAGAAAAGGAGGGGAAAGGAGGGAAGAGGATGGAAAGGGAGAGAAGAGGTGGGATGAGGCAGGAAGAGGATGGAAAAGGAGGGAAGAGGATGGAAGAAGTGGGAAGAGGTGGGAAGCAGCGGGAAGAGGTGGGGGCTGCCGCGCCTGC